TTTGTGAAAAAAAGGAGAATTTTAAGTTTTTTTTCGAGGTATTAATCTTTTTTTGGATGTTTTTTTTTTTTTTTTTTTTTTTTTTTTTTAAGTGGAATAAAAAAAAAGTTTGTTCTTTGTTCTTCAGTAAAAAAAACATAAAGTAGTTCAATCTTTTGAGAGGTGTCTGCTTGTTTTAATTGAAAGAGAGAGAGAGAGACCATGTTCTTGACTGACCTTGATTTTTGTCTTTCTGGTTATTTAACTCCTGTACAAATGTTCATTTGGGGAAAAAAAAAACAAAACATTTAGTACAATTAAAGTCAGTACACTGTTTTAGCTGGTTGGTGGTATTTTGTGTATCAGCCTTGATTAAATTGAATTATAGTTGTTCTACATTGTTCTCATATTTTAGTTTTATGTAAACGTAGTTGGATGACTTCAATACAAGAACGGTTTTCAGCATAAAGTTGCTAAAATATTTTTGGCTCTGTCCAGCAGTCATCATTTGTCTCATTTCATAACATCTACATTATCCAAACGCGGAGAATGAAAATAGAATATAGAATATGAGGTTAAGTTTTCAGCTAGCAAGCTATAATCAATTTATATGTCAGATTTGAGATATTAGGTCCAATGATTCATCTAAGCGTTACAGTTAAAAATAAACTATGTAAAGATGGCAGAAATGGTTTGTTTACAGACATGAAGCTGAAGCAGGAAGACATGAAATGGCAACATGTTGCTACAAAGCAATGGGAACAATGTAGTGATTGGGCTAATTGACCCAAAACTCTCCTGGACTTTTTCCTTCGCTGCATTCGCAGGTGTCGTTTCCACATCCACGTCTAAGTTCAGAAATTAAGAGCTGCAAGTCCAGATGCAGTTCTGATTCTTTTTGATATTTGTGTCCACACCCAGGTGAAGCTCTGCAGCTCTTGGCGCGGCACACATCACAAAACATCCACACTCTTCTGTTCTTCATATATGCCATGCAACATGTGAAAGAAATGCAACAAGCTTGACTTTAGCCTCACCACAAATGCAGAATTTAATTGCTTCATTCATTTTCTGATGGCTGAAAGTTTTTAGTTTTAAACTTAGTTTGGGATTAAACTCTGTTTAAAAAAAAAAAAATAATTATAATGGCTGAGTGCACTCCCTGTGCTCCTCTTTGATTTAGTAACATTCTGCTGTACAAACCGAGGACACGCTAATCCTCGATTGGCATCATTGTTTGTTTCAACGTCTGGATGAGCAGATAAATCCAGATTTGTCAGTGTGTGTCACTTTCACTGATGAACAAACGAATCCCCTAGAGGACAGCCAAGATGGGATGAGTTAACACGGGGTATGACGGCTTAAGGGTGAGGAAAACAAAGAAAGATGAGAGCAAACAGGACGAGTTTTATTTCCAGTGGCCCAAAGTTAAAAGCTGCACAAAGTGTGGATGTCCTTTTTCCAGACTGTCAAACTATTGGCAAGCAAAAATAATAATAATAAAAAAAATGCATCCTTCTGCAAAGCTTTGGAGAATATTGGTTACATCTTATAGAGAAATCCTAAAAGAGAGACCTGCAAGTGGACCCACTTAAATGTTACATGTGTGACACACAAAACATTTCAGCGTTTAAGAAAAGCAGCTCTGTCTGCTGCAGTAACATGTAAATAGAAGCATAGTCAGCAACTCGAGCAGAAAAAAATGATTTTTAAAAGTTTGCTTCTTGTCTATTTAGGTAAAATTCTGAGACATCTATACCATATTGGACTGTAAAAAAATTGCACTTTTTTTTTTTACAGTACACAAAAATCAAGAGATGCTTAAATGTTTTAAAATAGTCTGTGTAATGTAGTTCCTGTTATACTGAAAATATTCATGTAAATGTTTGGTCTGAGCATAAAAATATATCAAGCTAACCTGTTTCTATCACCTAAACAGGTTAAATATTATGATACAAAGTAATCTATTGTGTCTGATTTGACGCTAAAGTTGCCTTATAAGTTTTTGCGGTGGCGGTGGTAGCAGT